GTAACAATTAATATTAATAACTCTGAGAATTAATGTTTATTGTTTTAAAAAATTATTTGTTAAACTTTCCACAAAACGTTGTTTACTCGCTGTGATACGAATTTTAGTAACTCACTGTGATACATTTTTTTAATTTTTTTCTTCAAATGTTTTTCGAATTTTTGATGAAAATATTAAACATAATTTGATATATGCTTTCATTTTTCTCCAGCTTGAAAATATGTGATAAATAGATTATTGCATGGCATTTTCCATATTGGCCCTGGTATCAGCCCTCGACCTATATCAAGCCCTCTGGCTTGATATGGGAGTCTAGGGCCGATACTAGGGCAAATATGGAAAATGCCATGTAATAATCTATAATTATCCTTTGAAAATTTTTCTTCTTAAAGGTTATCTAATTAACACAGTAGTAAAATCTTTCAATGTTGTTGTTTAATTATATATTACTAAATATGTACAGTTATGATAACTTGTTATGATCCTTCATCCTGTCTATACTGTTTACTTATTTTTTGGTATTGCACAAAGGCATGCGTTTCTCATACTGTTTATGACGTCTTTACACTAAATGCGTTGGATGTGTACTGATTGATACTTTAGTCTGGGATACCATGGTTTTTTGTTTGTTAATCGTAATTGACTTATTTCGGTGCTTAGTTGTTTTTGTGCCTCGTACCGATCTTTTGAGTTAAACCAATTGCAACTGATTTTTACGTTTTTTTCTTATAGTGTGCTGTTACACCACTGACCCAGGTAAGGGAAACATAAATTGCTAACCTAGACTTATTTTGCCTAACAAATTGTAATGTCATTGAATCCATAGGCTTAACAGTACAGTAAACTATTTGATCGCAAATCAGAGATTAAAAAAATGAATCCGATTTATGTGCGCAAAACATATGTATCTTTAATTCAGGTAAGCTCGATTTAAAGTTATATTTTTGATCATAGTGGCTGAAAGAACATTCATTATGTTCATAACAAGTTTTCTTCGAATACCGCAACAATTTCTAATAAGAAGTTAAAAGATATGCCTACAAATCAGTTGTAGTGGTTATTTTCAAAACCAGTCGGAATTATATGACACGATTATGTTTGAGTCCCAACCAAGGAATGGTCATCTCAAATTGGGTTTAAATTAAAAAATCGAAATATATTTGCTACAATGCTCATGTTTTTTCTCGTATGTTGATACGATAATGCATATTTTTGTGCACCATATTAGATCAAGAACAAAATCATCGATTATATATATTTTTTAAATATATCGATATGAAATGTATGAGGAGCATGTCTCCCAAAACTTACATATTGCGTCAGCTTTTAGTTTGATTCATGGTAGCCTTCTTGGCCAATCTGCATGCTAACATTGGTATATTATTAAGAAAGCATTACTACAAAACTATTACATCATGATTTATTGATTGATTTAATGATTGGTGTTAAACGCCACTTTCAGCTCTATTTTGCTATTTCTTGACGGTCAGTTTTTATTGGTGGAGGAAGGAAGCTGGAGAGCTGCATAGACCCTCGGTAGGAAAACTGACAATCCTGTCAATTACGATTGGACTCGAGCGCACCAAGTGCGAGATTTGAACTCACGATCTCAGTGTTGACAGGCTAGTGATACAGTAGTACGACTACTTAGATCACTCATTAATTTAGATAGATAGATAAAAAAAAAAGTAACATCTAATTTATCCCATTTTCTATAAAATCTAATAGTGGTCAAATTTGTCAGTTGGCGTAATCGATGTCATTTTACACAATACACCCACAAAATTAGGAAAATTTTGAAACACATTTCATCTGACAAAATGTTTGAAAAGGATTTTCCAACAGAAACAGAGTTGGTACATATGTTTAACGGCGTGGTTGTCATATTTCGCCGAGCACGCATTCCATAGGTAGTTATTTTTAGAACGTTAACCTCACTTTTTTATCAGTCTACTTTATCTAGTAAGATAAACACAAAAGCTGATTAAAAGGAGCTTCATCGATGATAGGGTAATGATGATAGGGTCATTAACCATTTTCCTAAAGATAGCTATGTGAAGAACATTTTTCTTAAACAAGTAAATAACATTTGGAAATGATTGTATCTCTTAATTTTATTATTTAAAAAAAAACCGGCCATCTACGAGCACTCCTTGAAGGTAACTTAATCGACATAGGATCAATTGCAGCAGAAGTGCAGGTAAAATTGACATTCTACCCATTATATTATTTATAGTAACAGCAACAGTATTCGTCTAGGTTCGACCATAAACGATATCATTCCAAACTAGACAGTGTAAGGATAGGTTTCAATTGACATTGTTTTTTTTTCTCTCAGAAAAACAAAACATAAAATGGTTTACGCCAGTCACTATGGACGACGACAACATCCACCAAGTGGTGGCATTTGTCAGTATATTTATAAACATATGCAACTGTTCTCCAGGTGATCTAAAAAAAACCCCAAAAAACGCGACAGACTTCTTCGCCATATTGGAGAGACATCAACCAAAAAGTAAAGTTTTGTTTTAAAGTATTCTTAGCGTGGTTTATACATCAGCAGAAATACAGGCAATACATTCTGTATGTGCATGTCCCAAGTTAGGAGCATGTAATTCAGTAGTTGTCGTTTGTTATATGTACCAATCGTCGTAACCACAATCCCTTCATTCTTTTCCCCGAATGTGACCTACCGAATTAGACTTATCATCGGGTTTGTACTTTTGTTTTTACATGAGGAACACGACAGGTGCCAAATGTAGATCAGAATCAGCTTACCCGTCCTGAGCACCTGAGATCAACCCGGAATTTGGTGGGGTTTGTGTTGCTCAGTGTTTCGTTTTTTATGTTGTGTTTTGTATATTGTTGGTTGTCTTTTGGTCTTTTGGTCTATTTCTTCTTGTTTTGCCATGGCGATGGCATTTTGTTATTCCAGGTCTTATTATAGCTAACAATATAGTATGGGTTTTGCTCATTGTTGAATGCCATATGGAGTCCTAAATTTGCTATTAGCTTCGTCATTTGTTCTAAGATGGATAGTTGTCTCATACACAATCATACCACATCTTATTTTTGCAAGTCCCTTGGTGTTCGGTATTTTTGTTATTTTACTTTTTATTGAACAGCTAACTAAGATAAATAAGTGTAGAAAAATGACAATGAAAAATATCTTTGTAATTGTAACGTTTAATCTCTTGGCATCTATATATAGTTAATATTAGATTCCCGATTTATGCATTTCTACAACAAATGTGTGATTTGTAATTCATTACATGCAAAACGTTTTTTTTTATTTGTAAAAAGTATAACAAATATACTGAATTCCAAGGCAAATTCAAAAAGGGGAAAGTCCATAAAAACTGACAAAATCAAACGCTATCAATCAACTGAACAAGTGAAAAACAACTGCCACATTCCTGACTTGTAACATAGGCGTTTTGCATATTTCTCAAAAAGTAAATTTTGCAAAATGTAGTTCCTGAAACATCATGATTAATCTCTAATGTTTAATGAATTAAAATATATGTACATTGTGAATGCCTTCTGTTAATTTTAGTCTAAATGTACGGAAAGGTTTGATTTGGATGATATGTCGACAAATTCTTATTTTCTCTTATTTAAACTACCTAACAATATTTTTCGGATTTTTTTTTTATGATCAAGGAAGAGCAATTAAAAAACTGAAATAGTTACAGTATGGTGCTATATATGCTACTGTGAGTATCGAACAAACAAATATTTTGAAGTTGATATTTTGCATATATTTCTAGTATAAAGACAGTACTTGTTTTAGCAAAAACTACCATTTACAATCTTTTAGTCTTAAATGCATGATTTTTTATTAGTTGATATTGGCTTTGAACTAGCTGTCAGTAACTGCGAGTACTCTCAGATCTGTACTTAGTGTCTTTCTGTTGTTGGGATCTACAAGTACCCGGCCACGTCCACTCTGTTTTTGTTAGATGTATTTCTATTTGTATCCATCTGATGAGTTCAGTCTTTTTCAACTGATTTTTATAGTTTGTTCTAATGTTGTACTGTTACACCACTGTCCCAAGTTCGGAGGAGGGTTGGGCGGCCGCTAACATGTTTAACCCGGCTACATTCTATATGTGTCTGTCCCAAGTCAGGATCCTGTAATTGAGTAGTTGTTGTTTGTTGCTGTTGATCATATGTTTTGTTTGTTTATTGTTTTGATCAGCTCTTGTATTGTTCTGTTGCACCACTGTCTCAGGATTAGGGGTAAGGGTTGGGCGCCCCCTAACATGTTTAACCCCGCCACATTCTGTATGTGCTTGTCCCAAGTCAGGATCTTGTAATTCAGTGGTTGTCGTCTGTTGCTGTGCTACATATTTGTTTTTCGTTCATTATTTTGTACATAAATTAGGCAGTTAGTTTTGTCGTTTGGATTGTTTTACATTTGTCATTTCGGGGCCTTTTACAGCTGACTATGCCGTACGGTGGCCTATAATTATTAATTTCTGTGCCATTTGGTCTCTTGTGAAGATTTGTCTCATTGGCAATCATACCACATCTTCTTTTTTATATTTGAAGTAGCTGTCAGAAACTGCGAAGGCTATCAGATCTGTACTTTGTGTCTTTTTCGTTATGGGGATATATAAATACCCTGCCATACCCGGTTTGTGTTTTAGCAAGATGTTTTTTTCTGCTTTGTATCGATCTGATGAGTAAGCCCTTCTCAACTGATTTTTATATGTTGTACTGTTACACCAATGTCCCAGGTTAGGGGGAGGGATTGGCGCCGACAAACATGTTTAACCCGGCTACATTCTGAATGTCCCTGTCCCAAGTCAGGAGCCTGTAATTCAGTGGTTGTCGTTTGTTGCTGAATATCATATTTGATTTTTTTGTTCATTTTTTTTTACATAAATCAGGCCGTTATTGTTCTGGTTTCAATTGTTTGACATTTGTCATTTCGGGGTCTTTAATAGCTGACTATGCAGTATCGGGTTTTCTCATTGTTGAATGCCGTAGTACGGTGACCTATAGCTGTTCTACGTACTTTGGTCTCTTGTGGAGAGTTGTCTCATTGGCAATCAGACCACATCTTCTTATTTTTATTTATTTTTTAAACACCGGTTGTGTAAGGTCAGATATCTAGAAATTCTGAAGAAGGTAAGACCTATACATACATTGTACTCTGTTCATATTATAAACAATTTTGTTTTTCATTTTATTATGATAGGGACATTATCCGGGAACGAGTTTATCAAGTAACTTAACTAGAAATATTTAATAATACAAAATCACCAAACTACAAAATAATTTTAGGTTAAGAAATGCAAGTACAAAAATATCTAAATTTATATGTCCAAGCGTTAATAGAAGTTAAGTGTTGGATATAAAAGGTCTATCAGTGCAATGCATTTATTGTAAGAAATATAAAAAATCGTTTACATATACTTTGTAATTTAGTCAATAGTAATTCCAAAAGAGCTTAATTAATAGTTCAATGCATTGCTTGGTGTAATAAATATGTTTGAATTGAATTGGGTTAGTGTTCAGCATACAACGTACAATGTGTAGTAAAGAAAGTCCATGGGTAAATTGTATTTCTGTTAAATACCAGAATCTTATAGATTCTGCACAGGGAAAAAACTCTATTGATAAATTCATTCCTAAAAATCCCGTTAGGATCACGTTCCTGCATTACATTTGTAAATACAGCTACAGGATCTACAACACCATTGCCTGGATACATCTTTACCACGTTGTTTGCATCTACATCTTGAACCATACCCCAGTGAGGTCGACCGTTAAATTGATCTTGCATCAAATTTCTAAACTGCTGTAGAGTATTAGCTGCATTTGGTGTTCCTACCAATATATTGCTGATAATCATCATTGACTGGCGATTGTACTGCATAGCCATATATGCATTCGTCGGTCTAGAGAACCTCACAGCAAAAGGAGTAGTTGCAAATTGATGTACGTTTATATCTTGTACTTCTTGATAACGATCTATTAAAGCTTGTATCTTTTGTATGACATCCTCGGGATTTTGTGTTTGCATAGCACACTCGCTTACGGTAACCTGACCAGAAACTGCTAAACCAGACAATGGATCCAACGCTTCAACAGCATTCATAGTCACAGGCTGGTTAGTTGTTGTACCTCTCATAAGAATGTTCAAAAGAATGGGAACAAGTATTGGAAAGTTGTTGCAAGCCCAATTAAACCCTACACGTACCCATTCATGTGGAATTAAATGCCAGTCTGGTCTCCTGCCTTCTGGTTGGCCATTGGTATATTCCAAGGTACATATAACGACACCGTTTTGATTTTCAGGCCCAACAGGATACGGATTTACAAATATCTCGAAACTGTGCAAGGGATCGGCTTCATTTAAGTTTCGATCATAAAGTATCGGGATTTGTTCTTGTGCTATCTCCCATGAAACAAAGTTTCGGTTTTCTGTAAGATAAAACGCTTGTTCAGTACGCAGGATGTAAGAATAAGCAAGTCCCATACCACCAATATTAACAAGTGCTGCATGGAAAATATCATTATCCTGAATGAGATTTTTTTCTGGGTAAAATGCTTCAAATGCCTGTCGATCGGTTATACCATCTTCCGGTTCTATTTGATTCTGTCAAACTTCACCATTCTCGTTCACCGTCAATAAAAGGAACGACAAGACCATATCTGCTATTATAGGCTTTGTTAAACCATTTCCATGGGCTCCAGTCGCAATGGTGCCACTCAAAGATAAATTGGTACAACCAGTTTGATTTGGCAAAACTCTATACCGGTCTGGAAACCTTGTTTTTCTAAACCCAAGAGGCCAGAGGTATTCTTGAACATGTTCTATCGTGGCTCCAGCTTCAAAACAGCAGATCATCCTGTTATCCAACATTTCCTGATTGACAGCATTCAGGACGGTTCTGTTAATATGAATGACATCATTCAAATCACTGAAATGAAAAATGACAATCATCATTTACTACCGTTAAAATGTGAAACAGGGAATTATTTTTCAATATTCTTTATTTTTTTGCTTTCTTCTCATTTTCCACATTCCTTTTCAAGTTCCCCGTGTTTCACTTCTTGTGCACCCTTTCCCTCAGTTTACATATTTGGATTTAGACAATTGTCTAATAGCAAATCAAGTGTCAATCGTACATATACATATAACTAGAAAAAACCCGCGCGAGTGCGGCTTGAAGACTACTTGAAATGTTTATGCTGATACACAGCTTGGGTTTGTGTTTCTCAAACTGTTTTAGACACTGATGCAGTATGTTGATAGTTTTGATTAGTTTTTCAGTTCTTCTTCCATAGGAGTTTGAATGTCCAATTAGTAGGTTCTGTCTCGGTGTTACACAGGTGATCCTAGAACGGAGTAAATAACTCAGAGAAGAAGAAGACAACCTAAAACACTGATGATTAAAACATTTCTCAGTGGTGCGAGTTTGTAGTATTTTTTTTCCGAGTGGTGCGAGTTCTGTCTCTGTGTGACACGGGTGCACCGAGAAAGGAGGAATTTACTAAGGGAAGGACAAAACAATTTAATGTTTAAAGAAATTTCTTCGAATTTGTTATATTTCTTTTTTTTTGAGTGGTGCGAGTTTGATAAAGTGATGCAAGTTGTAATAATTAGTGAGAGTGTTTGAATGATGCAGGTTGACCTAGGGCCGAGTTGTTATAAATTCTAGACAAATTGAATACAAAACCATTTCCACCTGCTTACAAAACGTAGACGGTAAGGAACCAGCTACGGAACTTTATTTGGGGTTTAATTAACTAACTAAAGCAATTACTATATGAAGTTATAAAGTACATTACATACACTAACTATTTATTATTATATAATACTTCAGACGGTCGTCGGCTCGGAGACAAACCGGCTAACACATTTTGGTCTCCAAATGTAATAGATATAGATATGATCATATGTTTACATCCACTTCATTTGAACTCTGGTAAATAGTTTTCTCACTGGCAATCATACCGCATCTGCTCATTTTTATATATAAGATGTTTTTTGTATAAACGTGAGTGAATAACAAAAAATTCACAGGAAGAACATGTATAAATCATCATACTGCCTCGTGTTTGTACAAATTTACAGTGACAAAGTGATTATTCAAACAATTATCGGAAATGAATCACAAAATATATTTGCCGGTGTCAAAAAAATGTTGGAATTCTATTTATTTGAATAACGAAATTTTGTTTTTAACTTGCAATTTTGACAGATTTAAAAGTTTCAACTTGAACAAAAAGCTAAGCCGTATCATTACATGTTGAAATTAAAAAAGAAGCTTCTTTTTGAGCAAATTTGAATTATTTGAATACAAACTATTTCGTGTAGTTATTTTTTCTTAAATTTTCTACACGGGTCAAACTTTTTACTTTCAGTTTTTTTGGGCCAGCATGTATGTTTAAAATATCCAACGTCCCATGTTTCTTGTAATTAAACGGTCGTCGCCTTACATGATGACGGTGGATTGGAGTAGCAATTATGAAATGCCTATCAGGACTAAAACATGATGATGTGATTTGAATACAATTCATAATGTCTTCTATACCGCTACACTGAACCGGACTTTTAACGTGCTAGTTTGCAAGGTAACATTTCCGATGAAACAAAGGTCACCCTTTACTCAGAAACATTAATATTGTTTTTCGAGCCAGCCAGTGTTTGCTCTTGCTCCTAAATACTGAGTTAAATAGCAGCAAATACCATTTCAAATCTTTGAATTGAACCGGTCGGGGATCAAGCTCATTACCTCGATAAACAAATGAATCTGAAACACGGTATAGCATGAAATTAAATTTTAGGACTATATTATTGGTAGTTCCCTAGAAAAATGTGACAAAAATTGTATACATGGCCGTTGTGTTTGGGATTTACAAGTATTCGGTAAACAGGAAGTTGATGAACAATTGATATGAAAACGCGTCACACGGTAAACATGAATATATATAACATATTTCATTAGGCTCTGATTTTGAGTTCTTGAGGAAAATGCTACAAACATTTCATTTGACAGACGGACAGACAGACGAACATTTGGACAGATATTCGGGCGAATTGACGGGGGGAGAGACCAGGGTTAACGCAGCATACCCTTCCTTCAGAGCGAGCGAAGATATAATTTATTTGTTTTTTTTACTTTATATTCATGAAAGAGGTGCTTTTTTATTATTGATTGACTATGTGCATAAGCATTTTTTTACGCAAATATAGCTACACTTTTGTTAAATTAAATTCTCCAATGAGTTCAAAATGATATTACTCTAAATATTATCGATCGTTGACGACAAAATAGGATGATACAGTCTGCTTTCTGTAGCGCAGAAATGTCATTTGTATTGACAGAGGAAGATATTCGAAGTAAATGTTGAGGAATTTAAAATTTAAAGTAAGAGTTATCAACTAATCACGTTGGTCTATGTAAACATGTGATGGCCATACCCAACAGCTTAGTGAACAATATTTCACCCGATCTGTACAACACGAGTATGGGGTAATAACACTGACTTTATAAATCCTTATGAGCCCGCGAATCTTGTGTCCGGATCCTTTCTTACGGAGCTGGGAGCACCATCATCGCAGCCTGGAACCCAATAAGTGTGAAGCCCGGAGCCCGAAAACATTACTCAAAGGAGCCCAAGGTCCATATTTTAGAGACTGGAGCCAAACAATGAAAAAAGGATGGAGCGCGGAACCCAGAGCCCGTGTTATCCCACAAGCAGTTCGTGTCAACGGGATAATAAACTTAAAAATCGATAACAGGCTTAATTAAACTTTGTACGCCAGACGCGCGTTTCGTCTACAAAAGACTCATCAGTGACGCTCGAATCAAAGACGTTAAAAGGCCAAATAAAGTACGAAGTTGAAGAGCATTTAGAACCCCAAAGTCCGAAAGGTTTTGCCATATATATATATAGCTAAGGTAATCTAATCCCGAGGCAGAAAATCTTTAAAAAAATCAATATTTTGTTACCAGTTGATTTATAATTATGGCCATATCAATGATAATTCAAGTCAACACAGAAGTGCTGACAACTAGCGTGGTTATACCCTCGCGGAAAACACAGGAAATAAAAACTAACAAATACAGATTTGAATGACAATGCATGTAAATAATGAGAAGGGAAACACCCAAATGCGATAGCAACCAAGGTAACGACACAAATAATAAAAACGACATCTGTTGTGACTATACTCCAGAGAATATATCAAAGAATTGCCAACCATAGCAAATTCAAATCGTATGCAATGGTTTCAGAATAAAGTTATTCGTTATTGATTCATACTAGTAACAGGGGAACGATACATTTTGGAAAGTTATACTCTTCAAACCCTTTTATTTGCCTCAAAAAGCTGTCATATAGATCTCATACGATATTCTTGCAATTTGATGTTGAACTAGTTCCTTATTCATTCCATCATGCACCCTTATTCTGTATTCGATGATTATGTAGGAATGAGATTCTTTAAATGTAAAAATATTTGACAAAGGTTCAAATTTTGAGTTCATACAAATAAAAGATACTGGTAGTTTAAAAGTAGAAAACCAAGATATGGAGTTTTATCATATTTTAGTTTAGAACTGCCTCGGTGGTCTCGTGATTGCCTGAGCGCATCGAGTGCGGGAGGTTGAGGGTTCGATTCCCGGCCGGGTCAAATTTGATGCTTCACCACTTATAAATAGCACAATGTATTTAGGAGTAAGAGCAAACACTGGACGGCTCGGTCGGTGTAGTACAAAGCAAGGTCTATATGCATTATATAAATAACACATAACTAAGATGGTGATCGAGCAGATTGTTTCCCATAGAAAAAAAAATTGTCAACCGAGACGTCGGTTGATAATGTTTTTGAGGGTAACAATTTGCTGTATCACCCTCTCAGATATGTGTAATTTAATCATACCCCGCGCAACTTAACGATAAAGTTTTAAGATAACGGAAGAAAGATATTAAAAATAGCTCTCGTAATGTGTTTTCAAATTTAAAACGAAATTTTCACGGGACTCGTTTTCTTGCACATTCCGCTATATAACTATATTATATGAGTTATCTCCCGTTATATAGCAAGTTGAAAAAGTATATCAAACAAAAAAATCTGCATAAAAGAAAAATAACTCTAAACAGTCGTAAAAAAAAATATAATAACTAAGTTGCCTTCATTTGAATAAAAGTCGTACAAATGAATTGCATTCGTCCCTCAAAGGGAGTAAATTCGGTAATGGCAATATTTGGTCGCGATTATTTTAGTTGAATGTTTTAAGATTAAAAAACGTTTTAATTAATAAAAAAACATTTAAAAAAGTTAGATAGAAATATTATTGTCAAAGTTTTATTTTATAGCGTTGATTTTTACATCCAATTACGCCAAATATAGAGATTTTTGCAAAATTTTACAATATCGTCAGGATTTCAACCAAATTTATGCCTTAGAAAAAACATAGAGCGCAGGCGTCGAGAAACTAAATATTCAAGTCAGAAATGTAAAATGTTATGACAAACATTACTTTAAAATATCTTTTTTGTCGATTCATACACTCTTATGGTTCCTGTCTAAAATTCAATGGAAATGTATCCATTTTCATTGAATTTTCGTGGAAAATCAAAATGCTATTTGTGACGTCATAAATATAACGCAAGTACGTAAGTTTAAAAAAAACCTTAAGGTTATTGTATTAACTATGTATGACTCATTGTGATATTGATCAATAAATTCTAATTTGGAAGTGTACCTAGAAAAGGGGTCCGTTTTAGGGCCTTATCGAACCTACTCCTTTGAACATCTTAAAAAGATCTAGACAGATTGGTTTCTGATATTTTACAACCGGGGGTTAACCGGATGGACGGAGGGATGAATGGACGAACAATGTGTACCACCACATCCAAAGAAATGAGTCTCAAAGGGTTGAACACTGGGCGCTGAGCTGAATCAGTTTTCGTATAAAAGTTTTGAAAAAAGACATACTGTGGATTCATTTATTTTCGTGGGTATCAATTTTCGTTGATTGAGAAGAACTTGCGTTTTCGTGGATATTTGATTTCGTGGTTTTGCCAATCACTGCATGCAAAGCCTATAGAAAATTTGTTATTCGTTGAACATTTAAATTCGTGGTTCATCTGTACCCACGAAACCCACGAAAATTGGTATCCAACGAATAATTATGAATCCACAGTATATAGTTTCCCTTTTTAAATTTAAAATCATATGTATGAATACCTCATGTCTATTTGAGTTCCATCTATATGTCCGATGTCTGTCCATTCTACAGAATGTTTCGTTCCAACAGCTTTAATAGTATTTCCCCGTTGTGCAGCATCTGTAATATTTTGTATCAGTTCAACCAAACTAGTTGGCCGCATACGTTCTGCCGGGGGTTCTGTTTCAAAATAAATGTTGATTCTCTTATGAATCAAATAAAAAGTAAAGAAAGAAAGGTTAAACAAATGTTAAAAGCTAAAACGATCAGACCCTTATAAATGAAACATTACACGCCAATAATAACAAATAAAAACATAATGTATCCATTCAATTGTATACTTTAATATTAAACTAAACTGTTAGAACGCCACTACATGTTTCGCCTGAAGCAATTCAGGCTGGCTAGACCATGTGTTTTTTTTTAGATTGTCTGGAAATGTTTAATTTTTTGTCGAAGGAGTTGGGTATTGGTGGTTAATGTGGTCTTGTGCTGTGTGGTATTTTTGATGGTTGCTGTTGTCCATTTTTATCTAACTTCGAGATTAATTTCTGATCAAACCAAGTGGAACATAATTTGTATTTCACTGCACAGGAATGAAGATAGAACCTAGTTAACTTGTTATCTAAAACTACATATTTTATTTGAATATTTAGTATGAAAAATGGTAAGTGTATAAATATATTCAGTATGAAAAATGCTATGGAAATACATATTTAGTATAAAAAAATGTATTGGTACATATTTAGTATTAAAAAAAAATGTATGGGTATACAGATTTAGTATGCAAAATAATTTGGGTATACGTTGATGACATTATAACCGTAAGACAAAACCAAAAAGCCATCTACACATGTAGTTGAAAAAGTCACTTTCTCTCAAGATTTGTTTGTTTAGGTGTAATACCACCAAATCATAGTACGTCACATCCGGTTGCATACGAAAAAGGCTAAAAGACAATATTCCCTTGAATTTGACAGTTGTAGGAAATTAATCCTACATTTCAGTAAAAACATTTCTGTGTCATAGACATATATCTTGGGTGTTTCATAGCACCATTATTTTTTATTTGGTGTTTCTATAGAATATTTTGGAAACTTGGGGTTACATGGTTACAATTTAAAGCTTGTACACAGGAAGAAAAAGGGTGAACATTTGATTGGTTAACTTCCAGTGATGGTTATTTTCTTATATGCAATGAAACATTATGTGAAATTTTGTCTTAAGTACTGGACAGGATAAAACATTACTCATGTCAAGTATTTCTTTATTTGAAACAAAGATAAATTCTGTACAATTTTTTGAAAAGTGCAAATTTAACAAAGACTGATACATGTAATAAGGGAAACCAAGATGGTATTACACCTAATATGGGAAGCTGCACATTCACCTTTGACCCTGTGTGTACTCTCATTTGTTAAAATTTCATGCTATTTAAGTGAAAAATTACAAAAAATGAAATATTCTGAATGGATGAAGCCTCAAAAACACATTTTATGAGAAAATTGCCTTGAAATAGGCTCTACCATGAATATTTATAGACAGATCAAGCCATACTCAGTGTTTTTGGGAGCTTTTTTCTGACTTTGTCTCCTTATTTCTCATATTTTGCTATAATAGAAAACTTTTTCCGAAGTAATAATTTAATAAATATACAGTTATAAGTAAATGAAATTATTTTTGAAGCATTTACAACAAATTATTCACTAAAAGGGAAGCTTTTTATGTCCCTCTCTGGAACGCGGCGTAAATTTAAGTTTTACGTAAAGACTTATTGAAACCTCCATGGAGTCAGTAAACTTTTATATGGATGGTTCATTCAGCTTGAATACTTCAATCTCTCACTTATTACCACATTTCTTTCATAAATGAGTAAAAGTTACCTCAAAATTTTTATTTATTGGCCTAAAAAGTTGAAATTTTGAGGAAATGAGAGGTATAAATAGACCAAAAGGGACCTTATAATGAAGACAAATAGGTCTATAGTGGTATTTATCATCCTAAAGTCATCTTTTGTATCATATTCAACTGTTTTAGGCAGATGAGATAAGTATTTGATAATTTATTGGTCCAAACTATATTCTATCATGATGCGGCTTGATTTGGATTTTTCGAGGACATTTTGTTCGAATCGCTGTAGTTGTCGTCTTTTTCTCAAACTAATGAACTGATTATGACAAAACTTGACAGTAATGCTTAAAATAACCAGTATTACAAAGGAAAAAAATCACATTCAGTTTATTCAACAAAAAGGTCTTCTTGTAATACCACCAAATCATAGTACGTCACATCCGGTTGCATACAAAAAAGGATCGAAAAAAATATTCCCTTGCATTTGACAGTTGTAGGAAATTAATCCTACATTTCATTGCAGTAAAACATTTCTGTGTCATAGACATATATCTTGGGTGTTTCAAAGCACAATTTATTTTTTTATTTGGTGTTTCTATAGAATATTTTGGAAACTTGAGGTTACATGGTTACTAAATCTTGTACACAGGAAGAAAAAGGTGAACATTTGATTGGTTAACTTCCAGTGATGGTTATTTTCTTATATGCAATGAAACATTATATGAAATTTTGTCTATAATACTGGACATGATAAAATATTACTCATGTCAAGTATTTCTTTATTTGAAACAAAGATAAATTCTGCACATTTTTTTGAAATTGCAAATTGAACAAAGACTAATAGGGGAAAATCAATGGTGGTATTACACCTATAGTAAACGATAAAAAGCGACGAAAAATAATAAAACTTGTATTTTTTCTTTGCTTTCGCCAAGGACATCAAACAAACATATACGTCCTTACTTTCTGTCACAAAATAAGAAAAAAATATTGATGCCCTATGAAACTGTTTATAATCAAATTTATTTATATGTAGATATAAGAAGATGTGGTATGAGTGCCAATGAGACAACTCTCCATCCAAGTCACAATTTGTCAAAGTAAACCATTATAGTTGAAAGTACGGTCTTCAACACGGAGCCTTGGCTCACACCGAACAGCAAGCTATAAAGGGCCCCAAAAATGACTAGTGTAAAACAATTCAAACGGGAAAACCAACGGTCTAATCTATATAAAAAACGAGAAACGAGAAACACTTATGAACCACATCAACAAATGACAACCACTGAACATCTGGTTCCTGACTTAGGACAGGTGCAAACAAATGCAGCGGGGTTAAACGTTTTAATAGGTACCAACCTTCACCCTTACCTGAAACAATAGTGTAACATCACAACATAGAAAGACACACTATAAAATATCAATTGAAATGGCTTAACTCAATCAAAAATCATATTAACACAAGTGAACATACACTGAACGAATAAATTTGATCTATGACACAATGTAATTTTTATGTAAGATTATCAAAATGATACTTGTTTTCATTCGGCCACATTTTGTATCTTGGTTTTAACCTTTAAAACGTTACTGTTGTAATAAACAAATGGGGACCAATAAACGGTGCGGATAAAACAAATTAAACAAATGAGGCACACATTACCATCAATTACCAATGGTTAACACTTGTGTTTTGACGGGGTAAACAATTTCTACTCTTATTAGACATCCGTTCTCTTACTCCTGTCAGAATACGAAAAGACATCAGCGGATGAACTTTACCCAGACACTGTGGTGTATGTAGTGTTGGTGTCTTTTATCTAACACGTATGAATAAACAATTTATAAACCATTTCTTCAGTGTAAATAATACATGTGTTCGAAAATATAATTTAAATCCTGAGTCAACTCTACACCCCCTTACCTGAACCATCATTAAGAATTATTTGTGTACCAAAGTCACCAAATAGTTTTATGCATAATTATTAATTATGGTTATCATAACTTCCAACTTACCGGGTATTTGTAGAGGTTCTGGCTGGACTGGTGCTTCCCCACCACCTGTAATACATTAAATGTTGACGTAATAAATAAATGCAATAAATAACAATTTGTCAAAGGTACAAACTCCGAGATAAAAAATGAAGACTATCAAATGAATACGTAAAAGGAACACCACATATTTCAGCTATAAGACAATTAAATGGTTGCCAAAGTTTAAATGAAGAATTCTTAATCTATTAAAAATATATATCTCCAGCTATCGGTTCTTCTTTTACATTTAATGGCTTTCAAGATTTCAATCTTAATATTTGAAACGAAAAACAGCTATTTAAACTGAATAAAAATTTGGAAACTTTCAACGAAGTTGTAACATATTTAGTTTCCAAAAATATCATCATTGATAAATTAGCTGTTTACAAAAAACTAAGAATTTTTCAAAATATGAAGGATTTTCTATCCCGAGAATAAATAATTTACCTGAGTTGTTTTTGGCAAAACCTTTCGGAATTTTCGATCCTCAATGCTCATCAACTTTGTACTTTATCTGTCCTTTTTATCTTTTTTTATTTTAGCGTCACTGATGTGTCATTTGTACACGACGCTCGCATCTGGCGTGCAAAATTTTAATCCTGGTGTCTATGATGAGTTAATAGAAGTTTACACCAATAGTAATATCTTAGACGGGGAGAGTTGTGTCGCTTGTGAATTGATCAACGATTTGCGCTTACATTGTTGTTTTAAATAGATATGCAGACCACAAATGAATTAGAAAATACAACTGTTTTGACACAAAATGGTAAAAAAGTATCTTTTTATCTGGAACATTCTTTGTCCTGGCTTTTTGGACATGGTCGAATTTCTTATTTGGGGAGACAATTTTAATTTTGGAAAATGTTTTATCAAAAGAAATACATAAAAAGGATAACAGAATGATCGAAAATATGGACAGTATAACGTAAACAGACCACATCAAACGCCAACACCTAACTCCTCCAAGAAAAGGTACAAACAAGAAAAACAACACATTGGTATAGCAGCAGTTAAACCAGTTTTACATGCGCACATATGTCTACCTAAGAGCATGCCGTAAAAGTAAAACACGCATGCAGTTGAAACCTTCCACAACCAAGCTACGAACAGGATGACCATTAACATAAAGGGACAGAATATTATTGGAAAGCACGGTCGACATGTACCTCCCTCTACAAGAAGCAGGATAAGGTAATATAACGTATTGGTTGAATGCACTAACAGTTAATATCCTAAACACATTTTAATGTGATTAATTCCATGCATATGAATGCGTTTCGATTATTAAGTGGGTCACTGTATCTTTTTGTTTTACATCATATCTCTTTTTAAAAAATATAGTATGTTTGACCTTATATTAAGTCATATAATATTTATACAGTTATCATATAGAATGAACTTTTTAAAACCAAATGTAGAAGTCCTCTTAAATTTAACGACTCTTTTGAACAACTTTATTGTCCTTTTTGGTTTATAGCTCTTCATCCTTTTAATAAGCTTTGGATTTTCAAATATTTTGGCCTCGAGCATCACTGAAGAGACATTGATTGTCGAAATGCGCATCTGGTGCAGAAAAATTGGTACCGTTTATGTTATTATGCATATATTGGATATCAACATAATAGGATAATTAACCTACACTCGTCAGTGATACTTTTTTACGACCGAACTGAGAATTTTCATTAAACAGAACCATTGTTATCCGAAATATCAACGCTACCTTACTACCTGCTCCTTTAAACGGTTACCTAATTTGTTCTAACATAAATGCTTTACATTATATATTTACCAGGTACCCATACCTCCAAGGAGATGGCCAAATGCATCTAATGCAACTGCTGCTTCGAGTTGTCCAATTTCTTGTAGCATGCCGCTGAACAGATCATTGTTATTGGCTACGTGATGCTCGTGTAGTTCTTTAATTAACTCTTCCACATTGTCTATTATATCTCCGTGATCGTTCCTTAAACGCTGCAATAACTGATTAACGTCCATCCTATTAAGGTATCAAGATAAATTACGTTGAAATTTTGGTCTACCAAGATTAATGTCAAACTAAATTGTAATCAGCCCTACCACACATATTCCAGGAAAGGAAATTAGCTGAATACAATTGATAAAGGTGCATAAGATTATACAACCAAGACGGACGATTGCATTTTGTCTCCTATAATCATTTAGAGATATATACGATCTTTCACACCTGCACTGTAGAAGCGTATATTTAAAGGTCATTCTTAATCATTTGCCACCTTTCTGGCAAGTTAGGAGGATAAATAAGCAACAATTGGATGAAGACCAAGGAAAAAACAATCTAAACGCCACATTCTGGTATGTACTCCAAGTCTCTGTTTTAATTCAGTAAATTTGATTAATTTTCATAGCACTGACGCGATTAAAATTGAAAGTCATAATATAAAATGGCGTATAAATTAAAGACCGTGCAAAGAGGTACTAAATCTGAGTTATAGCGCTTTGTCCCACTAATATTACTTTCACAATTGAAATCTACGAAAAATTGATAATTTTAAAGTATTTGTCACATCTATATCTTTAAAAAAACTTCAAAAACTGTTTTATTTAAATAACTATGGTATGTCGAATAAAAGCAAAGTGTTTGCCGTGGAACAGGCCTCCTGCGGATCTCTAAGAAAAATGCTTAAATGATCCTTGAATATGAAGACAGCATGGAACTCAGATTCTGACTGGACGTGGCGTATATTTAAAGGTCATTCTTAATCATTTGCCACCTTTCTGGCAAGTTAGGAGGATAAATAAGCAACAATTGGATGAAGACCAAGGAAAAAACAATCTAAACGCCACATTCTGGTATGTACTCCAAGTCTCTGTTTTAATTCAGTAAATTTGATTAATTTTCATAGCACTGACGCGATTAAAATTGAAAGTCATAATATAAAATGGCGTATAAATTAAAGACCGTGCAAAGAGGTACTAAATCTGAGTTATAGCGCTTTGTCCCACTAATATTACTTTCACAATTGAAATCTACGAAAAATTGATAATTTTAAAGTATTTGTCACATCTATATCTTTAAAAAAACTTCAAAAACTGTTTTATTTAAATAACTATGGTATGTCGAATAAAAGCAAAGTGTTTGCCGTGGAACAGGCCTCCTGCGGATCTCTAAGAAAAATGCTTAAATGATCCTTGAATATGAAGACAGCATGGAACTCAGATTCTGACTGGACGTGGCTACGTGTTTTTTCATGTAGCAGAGCCAAACAGATTACCATTTTTCTATCCCCCGTAAATCCTGGTTATGATTTTTATCTATCTGATAGCAAATCATTGAAGGACGCACTTACAGATGTAATTTATTCCATTATGTCTCGTTGCGGTTCGATAAAGTTAAAAGATAAAAACAATTTGAATATTCAAACCATAACGATTATTCATTCTTCATTAATGCAAGATTAAAGTTTAGAATATAACTGGACTTATATTATTGACGTCTAACATAATGCAGAGATATCAAAAGTATTGGCAACTTTGCATACCATACTTGCATTGGAAAGAAGAAATATTCACAATTCAAATCAATACTAACAACAATATGTAACCTGTAACTTCTTGAACTCACATTTTATATACAAAATAAATCCCGAGGAATCAACAGTAATGATTTCCGATAAAACGAATACAAAATTCGCACTCTTTTTATGAGGACAAAATTATATCAACTCTAGACCTATGCTAGCAGTTTACATAAAATAATCCAACCTAGTGTACTAATAGTACTAATTTTCAAAATGCGTATATCAGTTTCAATAAAGAATGAATTTGCACTCTTTTTTTTTACATCAAATTTAGCGACTGTAGACTTTTGTTGCTCAATTATTATGTAAAACAATCAATCCGGAGTTATTACAATTATTGGTTTTCTCTGCAAGCATATAAATTTCGATACAAAAAGATTCATTTGCAAAACAGGGTTGTGATCTTTTTAATTCAGCCAAAATAAAAACTGCCTCTGCGCTAATCCAGAAGTTTTGACACTCTAAACTACTGCCGACATAGGTTTTAGAAACAGTCGACTTATATTGATCTTATTCTATCATGAGGTACTAAAAGTACTGATTTTCAATCCTGGCATATTATTTTTGAATGAAAAAAGAAACTGTACTGTTTATTTCTGTAGATAAACATTCTATTAGCGCCACTGGTGAGCTTTTTGTTAAAGAAAACGCGCGTCTGGCGTATCAAGTTATAAGCCTTGTATTGTTTAAAGATTTTATTTTTCAGCTGTAGACTTTTATTGCCCACATTTAAAATAAAAACATTTTGAGGTACCAAAAACAAATTATTTCCAAAACGCCTCTTTTGTTTACACTCATAAGATCTTGTTTTCTCCTTATTATTGATGACGCATTTTGTTTAAAACGGTCTAACCCGTGCTGCAAAAATATACTGACTTACGTTACTGGAATATGGTTACCGAATAAAAGAAATTTTGCATTCTGTATTTATGGCAACAACAATCCTATCAATTGTAGATGAGTGAACAAAAATTGTTTAATTATCAATGTTTGTCCGGACACACCTAAATTATTAACTAATGATTTGTCATTTTAAAGTTAATGACATCAACGAGAATCATAGGATACTAAACTATGGGTTAAAAAAACCGTATCTATATGTCGGTTAACTCTTGTAGATTAAAGATCAAATTAATGTTGTTTAATTGTTGGTTTTGTCTTTTCTGTGAAGCTTTATAACTAAGCCGTTACACAATCATTTTGCTTTTCATCATTTAAAAACAACAAAAAAAGTTTTGCGTATCAGAAGAGTATGTTATTCTCAATGTAGTATTTATCTTTATTTCGTTATTTCATAATGTGTAATTCAAACTTTAATTTCCGATTCAGGCAAACATGTTTGAAAACCGTATTAAATATTACATTCGTGGAAATGACATAAGATAATTTCGTATTCAATTTTTGTTTGTGTGTACATGTATATAGGTTTCATATTTAACTGTAAACCAAATACACTTAAATTCTAGGAAGTTCAACAGTGAAAAGTGAAAATTGATTCTTAGAATGGGTGGGCGAATAGACATAACGTACATTTTAATAAAACTGAAGGTCTTACGACTCCACAAAATGTACTGTAAAGAAGCAAGTTAATTTGAATCGAAATTATAAGAAGGAGGTGAATGAGATTAACAAAATCAACCCTTGGTTGTTTCATTGACAGTCACATCCCATCTCCATATTGAATCTGCCGATAGTTTGGAGACTTGTTGTTTTTATTCAGTTCGTACTAGTGTTATGCTATCTGAACGAATGTCGGATGACATATTGCATTTCTATGTTTAAGTTTTCTGAGCATCCTAACCCGAATGAATTAAGTCAGGTGACACGTCCTACCAAAATTGAGGTCTGACAGTGTTCACAATGCAATTTTCCACGTCATTCATTTTTTTCAAGGAGCCTAACAACTCAGAAAAAACTTGATGGACACTGATTTATGAACTCGTCAGAGACATTGCTGATATTAACATTTGTTATACATTTAAATAAATATTCGTACACTTGCAAGCTCTTACAATTCAGTTTGCTATAGCAATCATAATTCAAAAGGGACATACATGTAGCTTCTGCAAAAATAACTAAACAGCGCTTATTTTCGAAATTGTCCAAAACATTGCTGATCTTAATCCTTGATATACATTTAAGGAGCAGGATCTGCCTACCCTTCCGGAGCACGTGAGATCCCCCCCCGTTTTTGGTAGGGTTCGTATTAGTCAATCTGTATTTTTCTATGTTGTGTTTAGCGTACTGTTGTTATTCTGTTTGTCTCTTTCTTTTAGAGTCATGGCGTTGTCAGTTTATTTTCGACTTATGAGTTTGAATGTCCTTTTGGTATCTTTCGCCTCTCTTTTAATAAAAGTGCTACGAGAATTGTAGGTAATAGAAAATGACAATGCACTTTCCAAATAATTTGTATTGCCAAGAAACATAACTCTTATTACAATATTTGTTTGGCATTGATTTTCGAACTTGAACTAATCATTTCTGATCTAAACCTATGATACATTTTTTTTTATTTAAATCGGGAAATACCGGACGGACTAACACATGTTCGGACGGATGGACGTTTGGTATTTCTATTTGCGTAGCACTGTGTTATACGTTTGAAAATAATAAGTTATTTAAACTAAAGAATAAGTTTTAACTTTCTTTTTTCTATTCTATTTATATTTTTGGAACTAATAAACATTCAATTTAATACATAATATTATATTATTATTTATTATAGATTTCAATTATTCTTAAAATTCATAACATAATAAAAAATCGTGGAATATTTTCAAAATCTTACCTTTATGATCTTTATGGAATAAGGATACGCTGTTCTTTATCCAAAAACAAAAGTGTTATGTGGAAATATACTGCACAGTCACCTTTAAATATTAATTTCTAGAATGCATACGCAACGTTGCGGAACATGATTCACAAATAACATTTTTTTGAAATAAGAACAAAGTACCTTGCAATGGTACGATATATTTTAGGTTTAGCTTCGACCATGAGATGGTTCCGTATTTTTTCTCTGTTAGCCATTTAGACTTATAGTTCGACAAAAGTTAGTTCATTTTAAGATATATCAAATTAGAATTGTTCTGTTAGGTTTTTATTTATACCCATTCGCTTTGCCTGTGTCTGAAGTAAACTTATAGATTTCACTTAATGTATTTACCTATGTTTAACTTATAAATGATTTAGTTTCAACTAATCAGCCATCATTTCCCTTTCCTAGTGGTC